GTTTACAAAAAATGTTAAAATTAAAAAAAATGGCCTTGGTACTGGAACCGCATGAACTGGTGTCAGGCGTTGAATATGGATGCCAGGAGATTTAGGCCCACGTACTGTTTCGGCCCAGGAGGATAAGTGAATTAGAGCTCTTATCTTTTATTAAATTTAGAATAAACCCCGAGATAAAAAAAAACGACTAAAAGGTTCTGACTAATCGTCTAATTCCTATCTTTGATGCTTTTAGTTAGTAGTGTATTTGGAACAAAATATTTGAACAATGTTATCCCTGGCTCGTTAATATTCAACGCATAATAATATAAATACTTTTTTGTAAAGTACAGCGTACACACACTCTCCTAAGAACGCAAGAACACACCCTACCTCTACATCTTCCAAAAAACTGAGCCGAATAGAGACCATAAGATTAATAATATAATTGGAACCGATATTGGTTACATGTTCCTTTTCAACATAAATATCATGTAATTGATGTTATCTATAGGCATGTTGCGCGCCCCGCGGTGGCCCTGTGCCCCTGGCAAGGGCAAACATGGCTTCGTCGTCCATGGGCACATTGCCACCATACAATTGATGTTATCTATAGGCATGTTGACTATAATTAAAAAAAATAGTATTGTCAAATCCTAAAATAAATTTAAAAAATGCAGGTGCTCGAGGAATTGAACAAAAATACCGTTAAACCTAAATCTAAAAAAATTGTATCTTATCAAGGACTTAAACCTAAATAGATAAATTCTACCACAAGAAACTTAACCAACTAAACAATACTCAATTCATGCATATTGATCCGCATATGTGTCCAGGAGTATCCACTTCGTCTATGTATTTAATTTGACATATCCGTATCCAACTTATATATACTCCTACAAGAGAAAAATAGTATAGGGTATTTGATTGCATTATATTATTGTTATAAACTCGTGATTCCATCGTTCAATTCTCTGACTCACTGCATCTTATTAGTTGATTGTGCCGATTTTACGGTTCCATTAATCAGAATTTATCTCTTTACAATTTTAGTACCATGGTTCTATGATTCTACTGTTACAGTTCTGATATCTATCTATATCCCACCAGTTTTCACTAACCAGACTCCCAAAAGAAATGTGACGATTGGGCTCCACTGCTTCATGCAAATACGTGGGCGGTGGGCCCTTCTGCTCAAACTGCTCCACTATTTTCAGTGATGTTTGCCCTTCTTTAGTCAAAACACTATTTGACACTAATTTAGAGTATTAAATCCACTATTTTCAGTTCAGATGTTTGGTTCTCCTCTTGAAATTTTTATTCCATGTTCATCTCGTACATCGGATGTTTTTTATGATTAATGTCCGAACACATATATGATTTAGAGTATTAAATTTATCCAAACATTAATCAGTCAACAAAACTAATTGCATAAAATACAGTTTCATTGGAAATACATTACACTGACCAAGCAGGGCAACGACCATGACCAGCCGCGTGAATGCGGCTGCTGTGTGTTGATCAAATCTTCGGCAGTTTATACAACCCTCTCCTGGGGCCAACATGTCATGAAGGTCTATTTAATCTACTAGTCCGTACTGAGTAGATATGACTATTTTATCGGAGTAATAACAGTCAGAGCGGCTAACATGACCTTTGAATGCTGATCCGGTCTTGCATTGCATTCTTGCCCAATGAAAAAGTGAGGATGAGGCTGTGTGCAATTAAACTATGGTGTGCAGTTATAAACCCGGTCACGTTATTTCAGAGCAACGTGTCTCCTTTTCATCGTATATAGGCCCTGTTTATTTAGGTTTCTTAGAAGCTTTTGGGCCTCAACTTTTAGACCATGCAAAAGCCAAAAAGCTCCCAAGCTAAAAGCTAGAAAATCACTGTGATGATGTTTTTGTCATGTGGGGCCGAACCTATGCCAGATAATGATGGATTTATTGTGGCTAGAATTAGGCATAATAAGATTAGTTAGTTGCTATTTCTGATTGAGGAGATTTGTTACATCTTGAGAAGGGCAAGCAATTAGTTCCAAACAAACCTCTCTCTCCCTTGTGAATTACTGTCGATTATTACATTTCGCTTGGGGCAGCTCAAGGGTTCATTTCCTAAACTGCGGCGGAAGGCAACCTCGCGGAGAAGGCGGATCGCTATCCTTGGGTTTGGCGTCCTTGACAGCTCCGGGTATCACGTTCTTCGGCGTCTGTTGACAAAGACGGCGTTCCGGACGCTGCGATGGTCTCTCGAGTTCTTGGTCAATTCCGTTATATTTAGCCGTTTTGTCCTTGTGTTTTTGGCGATATTCTCGTCTACAAGACAACACTGACCATCTGAGCACATCGGGCGGTGGTGCTCCTCCTGCTTGGTCGGCATGTCGAACACATGATATGGACCCGGCCAAGGTGACGTGGGCCAGCTACGCGATGTGACGCGGGCTACTACCGCAAGTTCGCCCACGACTACGGGACCATCGCCGCCCCCCCGCTAAACTTTAATCGTTGGGGTTGGCGCGGTATCCAAACATTAGTCAGTCAACATCTTAACTACACACATACACTACTATGAAATATTTCTGCTTGGTTTGGGTAAGTTTCTTTGTCTTAAACATGCATTAAAATACAGTTTCAAAAACATGCATTAAAATAAAATATATATTAAATACATTACACTGACCAAGCAGGGCAACGACCATGACCAGCCGCGTGAATGCGGCTGCTGTGTGTTGATCAAATCTTCGGCAGTTTATACAACCCTCTCCTGGGGCCAACATGTCATGAAGGTCTATTTAATCTTTGCGACGACGACTAGTCCGTACTGAGTAGATATGACTATTTTATCGGAGTAATAACAGTCAGAGCGGCTAACATGTCATGAAGGTCTACCTTTGAATGCTGATCCGGTCTTGCATTGCATTCTTGCCCAATGAAAAAGTGAGGATGAGGCTGTGTGCAATTAAACTATGGTGTGCAGTTATAAACCCGGTCACGTTATTTCAGAGCAACGTGTCTCCTTTTCATCGTATATAGGCCCTGTTTATTTAGGTTTCTTAGAAGCTTTTGGGCCTCAACTTTTAGACCATGCAAAAGCCAAAAAGCTCCCAAGCTAAAAGCTAGAAAATCACTGTGATGATGTTTTAGATTTCTGGTTTTAAGGAGCTGTTTGACTTTTAGAAAGTCCAAAATCTATTAGTCCAAAAGTGACCCAAAGCTCGAATAAACATGGCCATAGAAAGAGTGACAAGTCACAACCCTTCCGGGTATACTCTTCCGTCCTTTCCTAGTAGTTGGAACGTATATTGGTCTTCAGACAAACTGCAAAGTACGCATTTGTGCTATGACGATGGAATTTTCGTCCCAAGGCAAAGTGAGACTCTATCTATTTGTGCAACAAGAAGCTGCAACCTGCAAGTTATTATGCACTAGAAACTTCTTGCGTCAGAATTCCCAAACGCAAAATTGCAAGCGAAGACATTTTCTCTTGCCTTCTTGGTTCCTGCTTTTTTTTTACATTTTCTCTTGGGTTGCAAGCAATGAAGCAATGGCCAAGGAGGCAAGAACCATTCCTTTTTCTCCTCGTCTTAGAAAGGAAGAACGATTCCTTTTCTTCGTCCCTTTTGAGAAACTATAAATGCTTCCCTCAAGCAAAAGATAAACTATGCAGCTATAGATAACATGGATATGCGGAGTCATACAAGGTACAACACTTTGATTAACAATATATGTAATAAATATATTACCTTATATAGAAAGAATTGCATATTATGGATTATGAAAGTATTTTTCACAATGATCTAGTAATACCAATTGCATATTGTTAATCCATATAAAGACTTTAAATATTCGTATAAAATTTGTAAAAAGCTTTAACTTAGAACAAATTTAAATGGACTTACATCTCGGATCGGAGGAAGCAGTAGCAAACTATGAAAATACCTCATCTTCGTCTGAAGTACAGGACAAGAAAATTATTTTGATTATTTTCTTTTGTTCGGGTCTGTGTCTAGTTACAGAGTACAAACGTTTTAGGATCAAGTGTTCAGAGTGTGAGGGGACCATAACGTTTAAGGAGGAATGAATTAGGTCACTTAAAAACTAAGATCTAATACCATTTATAAAAATCTATACAAGATCTATATGGATATGCACTATTTTTTTTAAAGTATTGCTATCTCTAACGCAAACATAGTTCAGTACCCTATGTTTTATGTGGATATACACAAGTTGCAAAGTCCTTTGTTCCACAACTACTGGGCCTCCAGGAGAGGTTTGGGCGTTTTAGTGACAAGATTTTGCCACGTAATTTACCTGTCCATTCCGTGTACCCGACCACAAAACGGCAAAAGGACGGTCAATCCATTCGACCATCAACCGTCCTTCACTCCACCACGTCCGTCCAGCCGCCGTACGAAATGTCCAAATCCAATAAACTGCAACGAAGTGCCAAAACGCAATGCAGAGGGACGGCGAAACCACGGGAAAACGAACGGGGGGAGCACCAGAAGAAAAGTCGAAAGCGAAGGGGCGGAGAATCGCTGCACATCTGCGTGGAATTTCTCCGTTCCGTTCCAACTCCAAGACTGGTGGAAGAGAGTAGTGGAGACGGACGCGCCTGGGTCAAGTCGCCGCCCGCGACGTCGACGTCCCATCCCATTTTCCACGCCGCGAACCCGCGCGGAAGACGCCGGCTGGGGTGTCTGCCACGACCGACGCTCCGGCCCCGCGGACTTCTACTCCACCACTCCGCGAAGCTGCCCGCGCGTCGCGAACCGTCTCGCTCTCTCCCGGCCGCTCTCGCGTTTTGGTGCCGGTTCCTCCGTTCGCGCACCACAAGACCGCCTGTCTCGGTTCCTCTCGCCTTCCGCGCCCCTCGCCTCCTCCAAGTACTCCTGCAGCGCTATATATCCGCCGCGCCCACGGATCACTAAACCATCAAACGCCAAACCCAGCAGAGGCAAAGCAAAGGTGCTGCACGACTCGACTACAAACATTCTCAAAGACACCGCTGCAGCTGCAATGGAGATGGCCTCTTCCTCCGCGCCGACCACGTCCTACTACAACGTGTCCGTGGCGCGGGCGGTGCTGACGCTCTCCATCAACGCCATCCTCCTCTGGCTCACCACCGTCATCAAGTCCTCCTCCTCCGGCGGCCGCCGCCGCGAGGCCGCCACCGCACCACCATCGCCGTCGTCCCCGGCTAAGCCCGCTGCCGCCGCCGTGGACATGGACGTGGTGCTCGGGCTGATGGGCGCGGTGTCCGTCGGGTTCGAGGAGGCGGCGGCGCTGTTCGAGGAGGAAGAGGCGACCGTGGAGGAGGCCCGGGAGGCGTTCGCGGTCTTCGACCGCAACGGCGACGGTTTCATCGACGCCGCGGAGCTCCGGAGCGTGCTCACGTCGCTCGGGCTCCAGGCCGGCGTCGCCGAAGCGGAGTGCCAGCGCATGATCGATGCGTATGACGGGGATATGGATGGCAGGATCGACTTCCTCGAGTTCGTCAAGCTCATGGAGACGAGCCACTGAGATGGATACGATCGCCGGACCGCCGGACCGCCGGATCAGATGATTCCGTCGGATTTGTTCAGAAATTCTTTGTTCGTTCGTTCTTTCTCTGTTATGTTTTTTCTTGGCCGGAATTAATGAAGCCGAATGATGCATACAAACGTGTACAAACTAAAAAACTAGCTATATGGATACATATAGTTATTGACACATGGATCAGCGCCATATATATCATCAAACGGGCCCATATGTCTTGTTTGCTTATGCAAAGTCCAAAACTAAACTAGCTCATCAAGACATCAACTATTTCAAATTGAGATGGGAATATCACCATATCCAACACACGGAGAAGCACTATATTACAGCACACAGGGTGCTCAAAGGAATCTTAATTTAATGGGGGCAGCTTTAATGGGGGCAGCTAGCGCCCTGGCGTCGGGCCGCAGGACGCGTCCTGACGCTGCTCCCGTTGAAGCGCACCACCACGCGCCCGTCCCGTCCCTGCGTAAGAGAAGCTCGCTCGCGTAACAGGACGCACCCGCATAATAGGAGCACCGTTACCCCCGCCACGCCGTAACAGAAACAGGAGAGCGCCTGCCGCGCCCGCATCACCCGCGACATCCTCATCCCAGCTGTGCCCTTTTCCCGCCGCACCGCCATCCCCCCACCGCGCCCGGTCGTCTACTGCGCTCGGTCTCCGCCGTCTGCTGCGCTCCGCTCCCGTCTTGTCTTATGTCATTGTAACATATGTAATATTTAGATTTACTTTTGTAATATCCAGATGAAACGCTTGCACCATATGTCTGAAACAGCTGAAACACTTACAACATACGTATGAAAGACTTACAAAACGTCTGCACTTGAAAGCTATTGCAAACATATGCAACATGTAGATAAAAACACTTGCAACATATGCAACATCCAGATAAAACACTTGCAACACACGTATGAGAAAATAGATGAAATATTTGGAACGGACGCTTGTAACATGCGTGTATATCCATTGCAACATATGCAACATCCCGATCTACTTTTGCAACATAAATGTGATACACTTGCAACATACCTCTTAAACATCCGAAACACTTAAAACATACGCTTGCAACATATGTGTTCAACAAAAACCTGGCACGGGCAGGCGGAGCACGGGACAAGATCCGACGTTAGGTCACGGTGGAGAAGGAGGATGGCAGCGGACGGCTGCCTACGTGGCCCTCGGTGAGCGGCTGCGTTGCCCCCGGCGATAGGGCGGCGCTGCGATGCCCCCGACGAGCGACACCCGTGGTGGAGGCGGCAGCGGCAGCGGTGGTCGCCCCCGGCAATAGGGCGGTTGTGATACCCCCGACGAGCAGCACCCGTGGTGGAGGCGGCAACGGCAGCAGCGGTCGAGTGGGTGTGGCCTCCCACGTGCGAGGCGCCCCCACGCTGGAGATGGCTGTGGTGAGTGGCCCCCGTGGTGCAGAAGGTGAGCGGCGCGGTGGAGGTGCCCACGACAGTCGGATGGCGTAGTTGAGGCGCTCGCGGCGGTTGGAATGGCGTGGTGAATTCCACAGGCAACTGGGCAAGGAGAAAGAGAAATGTGCCCGTTTTTTGTTTTTTAGATTGATCGTGAGGGAGCAGGCTGGGTTCATCTGCAGGCCCAGGAAGGCGCGTCCGTTCATTCGGACGCCCTCACCGGTGCATTCCTGTTAATTTAATTGTTGTTACCTGTTTCGAACAAATGATCCAATCATCCACACAAGAATTTCAATATGAATTTCACATGGAGAAAACTTGGAAACAAAAGCTAACTTGTTTGAAAACATCCTAAACCGATATATGTCCCTTTCAATTTGGAACAAAATAACACGATCGAAGTACTTCTGGTGAACTGCGGAATTCAGAAAGTCATTAAATTGCAATGGGAAATTCCGTACGCCAAGTTTCTTTAGAAAACTTTCCACCGATTTGGTTAAGAATTCAACTTCAAAAGTCTAAACTGCTTTTGAAAAAGATTTGTTATTCAAAACTTTCAAATTATTCAACTTTTGATTCTGAGAATTCCACATAAATTAGCAAAAGTTTTCACCTATGGACTAATGAATTTCAACCATTCATATAGATACATCATCTCCTTCTTATTAATATACAAGCTGGAAAACCTAGTTCTTTCGAGAGAAAAAAAGACAACTCAATAGGTTCCACATCCACCTCAAACAGGTTGCCATAGCCCATTGGTCATTTATGTTGGTACTCCGTATATTCTAAGGTGGCTCTAATGTATAGGAGTATTTTCTTAGTATAAGGGGCGAGGTTTAACACATGACAAAGGTGCTCTAATATTAAAGAAAGCTCCAATGTATAGTTTTGACAGCACATGTCTTTACACCTGGTACTCAAACAAACAGTTGGTTCCTAGCAATGGTAGGGGTGTTTGGATCCACGGACTAAAGTTTAGTCTCTGTCACATCAAATGTTTGGATATCAATTAGGAGGACTAAACATGAGTAATTATAAAACTAATTGCATAAGTCATGACTAATTCACGAGGTGATTTTATTAAGCCTAATTATTCTATGATTAGCGAATAACATCACATTCGCTAATCATGAACTAGTTGGGTTTCATAGATTCGTCTCGCGAATTAGTCACGGCTTATGCAATTAATTTTGTAACTAGTCTATGTTTAATACTTCTAATTAGTGTCAAACATCCGATGTGATATAGACTAAAGTTTAGTCACCTATATCCAAACACCCACTCATTTTTCTGTCATCTTTACACCTCCTTAGCATGCACACATTGGAGTTGCCCTTAGCCGATGCCAATGCATAACAACTAGGTGTGGCAGAACCGTCTAAAATAGCACACTTTCGAAGGCGCTCGTCTTTCACCAGACACTAAGCACCCTGAAAGGAAGTTACATCGGACGGATTCCTTCAAGCACACCCCAATGGAGAGCTCGAATAATCCACATTTTCCCTCCATGATCCAATAATGAGAACGAGTTTACAATACTTAGTCTATTTCATACAACTAGAGTTCTTAGAAATATAATATTACAATACCAAGTTCAGGGTGCGGAATTTAAACAACGGAATTACAATAAACATCTAACGATAGAATACAAGGATCCATCTATGCCCACCAGAAGAACCCTCCACACAACAGCTACTCTTCAAGCTACACCTGCAACAGGGGTAAATAACCCCTGAGTACACGATGTACTCGCAAGACTTACCTGACTAGTGGGAATAATTTCCCGACTTCAAAGGATATGATAAGCTTTATGGGTTGCTGGGTTTTCTTTCTGCGTAAAGCAATACTAGTAGTGGATCCTTATGTATGTTTCTTATTAGCAGTCAAGATTAGTTCATTATCTAACCATTCTAAGTAAACGCATGTTCTACTTTCAAGTAAGAGTTGAGCAAACAGATCCATTTCATTATCTTTCAGTTCTTACTACGGTGCTAGATTGTAGAAAAGTCGTACCAGATTGCCCGACGATTCGTGAATTAATGTGCCAAGCTGGGTACCCTGAAACATATGACCTACTTGTACCCCAGGCACAAGCAGGACCAACCCACCACTCTCCTGTCAAGAGGTTCAGGTCCCCGTCCAAACTTGGACTCCAAGCCCCCACACCTGAGTCTCAAACTCAGTGTGGTGCTTAGACCTCCACCATCCCCGCCTCCAATCAGTTGGTCCAGAAAAAGCCGGAACCCACGACAAGAGAGCAACGAGCCTTCCATGCTCCCATAAACAAGTATGTGCTCAGGATAATAAGTCTGTGACCTGACTAGAATCCAATGCAACGGCCGGTCCTTACCCGACACGGACAGGAAAAACAGTGTAACCAAGCTATGCCACATTGGCCGCGGGACACAACCTCTTACACCCACCAATACTCATACCATATCCCTACGTGGTCTCTATTTTCTCTCACCATTTTATCATGAGTGATAATAATAATCACCTATTATGAGTAACAAGTTACTCACGCTACCGATAGCCTAAGCATAGCAGCTACTCGACTTATGCTAATAGGACTTCATAGGATAAATATATTTATGCAGGCGGTTTTTATAAAATGCCTGTAACGTAAATGCACAACACAGATATATATATATTCAGTGCTTAATCAAAATAAGGGTTATGCACCGGGGCTTACCTTAGGCAGACGGGGTGTCAGCTTAGTCAGTCCGTGGTGGTTTCGAGATCTCCTCCTGCATGAGAACCTCCTCGTACTCTTCAATCATCTCTTCGTACTCCTGCTCGCCCTCGGTCATGAATTCCACCAACTCGTTTTCTACATGCATGCAATCACGATGCAACGCTCAATATTAAAGCAACAACAGTTCTAAAAATAAGAATACATCTACTAAGCCACTAAGCTAGCTCTAATGACTAAGATACCGAGCTAATCATCACTCCCATCAAACCCGCAGGGTTTCAGCTCCAAGTGCTACTTAGCAACTAAAATATATTCTTACTCTTATTAACGATTTCTTATATGCTACAACAAGGAGTACTTAGCTACCATATTTCTCAACCTATTCTAAGACTACAAAAATTATAGTGAGCATATAATAATACAATAAATCTACTGTAAAAATTTTATGGTCAAAACTATTACCAATTTGCCACAAAAATTCCTACAAATACTAATCTAAATAATACTAAACATTCACAAATGATTTAATAGCTGCTGGTATCAATAAATATATATTTGAACTAAATACACTAACAGATAGAGCACAATTTTAAGAACCTAACAAAATTAGTTTCATAATTTTTGGACATCTACACGATTTTATATGATTTACCAAAGTTCAACTCAGAATTACAAATGAAAAGCTATTTCTATTTTCTACGAAAAATCTAAACCGATTTTGGCCCATGCGGCGCAACGTGTGCGGCGGCCCACAGGCGAGGCGCAGCCCACACGCGGAGGCAGCCCACGGCAAGGAGGCCTGCGCGCACTGGCACATAAGCAAAAATGCCCCTGGACTATGAGCAAAACAACCCGTAGTCCATGTTACTATTCCTAGAGACAACACTTATACAAAAGAATCCTCAGACCTTTCTCCTCTTTATAATAGTGAGGCCCTCGGCTATCCCCATGCACTTCGGTGCGGCGAGCAGTGGCACAGGCGCCTACGCCGGCCACACGGGACCCCCCCCGTTGACCTAGCTACGAGGCCGATGCTCACCTAGGGTTCGACGTGAGACGATGAGCGGCGGTTGCGCGAGCCGAGACGCCGTAGAAGGACCTCTCCACGACAGCGGACACCCTGCGGCAATGGCGATGGTGTTCAGGTGAGCCGCAACAACAATCAAGGTAGTAGAGCAGTGGGTGAGCAACGACAACTCACCGGTGACCTTACCAAGAAGCCGGCTCGGCCGAAGACGACCCCAGTGAGGCTGGCCGCATGCACGTGGTGAGGTGAACGGTGGACCGCTAAGGCACGGCCACGTCAACGGCGAGGAGGTGGCATAAAAGCTGCGACTAGCGTTCGCACGACGAAGAGGAAGCCAAGGCAAGCTAACGGTGCAAAAGAATTGACGCGGGGTAAAGTGGTGGAGACTGGCCACGACTCAGGCGGCGACGAGCCTTAATGGCATGGCGGCGGCAAGATTCCAAAATTAGAGCTTAGCATGGTGCGAGTCAAGGCGGGGTAGGGTCGGATGGAGAGGGGGCGTGAAGGCGGAGACGCGAGCACGAGAAATTGATGAGAGGTGCTCGCTCTCTGGCTTCGCCGCGACATGACATGACGACGGCGTTAACAGAGGGAGGGAGAGACAGGCGCGGCAGTGGGTTTGGCTCATCCACGCCTTGGCGGGACGCGAGCGGCGAGACTAGAAGGCCCACGCGTCGGCGCTAGCCGATGGGCGTGCGCGCCCGACGGGCGTGGCCCGTGCGGTCGTAGTGCCATAAATGGCAAAGCGACGGCGGCGCGCACGGCCACGTGCGGACGACACCCAACCAGGCCAAGGAGGGGCAACGCGATGCAGCACGCGTACATGAGCGACACGACGGCAGCGGCAGCGTCGCGATGCGAGGCAGCAGAGGCGGACGCGATGGCAGCATAGCGCGGGACGGGGCAGGACAATGACGGCGTGATGGCACATGGCTGGAAACTAGCGGCGGGGTAGTAGCGCGGTAGTGAGATGGGGTAGCCACGCGCTAGGGCTGTCGGCCACAGTGGCCAGCCAAGCGCGGCCAGGCGCGCGCGCGGGCAGTTGGCGCTCAGGGGCGTTGTGACCGCGCCTACGCGAGAAAACCGACCAAGGACGTGCCATGCACACTTTTTAAAAACGTCCAAAACAACTAATCGGTTGGCCAAACGCTTAAACCACCTTCACCATACTTAAGAGGGTACATTAGGCTACCAAAACAGGCCATGTCATTACTCTTCTTCTTAACTAAATTTTTCTACAAAAATTGATAAACAAAGCAATGTCTACCATTTTCAAAGTTCAAGAAATTTTCTAAGTTCTGAGTTGAACTCTATTTCAAATTGCATTTCTAAGCTATTGGAAATCTTAGCTAGTAATATTATTTTTCGACCGCAGGTATTTCTTTGTCATCTATAAAGTTTGTACTTCAAACTTTATTCAAGTGTCACATACATGTTCTATAGCATTTTTGCTTAATAAAAATTGGTTTTAAACCCTAAGTGATATAACATGACTGGAATTAACTTTCATTTCGCATTTCCGTTGATCGTTTTGAGTTACGGAAATTGATCTACACTCTTTATTACATGTATTAACACATAAACATGATGCTCATGACATGTTTTAGTAAATGATTTACAGTGTAACACCGGAAGTTAATGTTGTGACATGAAGCATGGACACATCCACAAATGCAAGATTTCCCCTTATACATGTTCATGCCGGAAGACACGGAAGGTTACATGAATATGAAGATTGCCTACAAGTCTCAAAGCTGTAGGCTTGTAGCATTGGAGATAAAGGCTAACAAAGACAATGCCTTATACAAGATATAGGGCATGTTTGGATGCTTGGACTAAAAATTAGTCCATTGTGTGATAGTAGGTTAAACATGGACTAATCATGATTTTTTTCCTAATAAACTCTAACCACCAATCAACTCTTTTTTTTTTTGACAAACCACCAATTAGCTCTTAGAAGTACATGTTTAGCTCTCCTATTTGACACCCAGAACTTCGAACTATTTTTTAGTAATGTGATCCAAACACGCTAGGTATATTCTTCTTCTCTCTTATGACGTGGTTGTTGTTAGTCGCATATGCGACATATCCTAGCAAAAGCGATTTCCTACCACACTCGTATGATGAGGGCGAATGGTGGCTGCAGCCAGGGCACGAGCGTCAACAAAAGACATTTAAAAAAATTAGTATTTTGCAATAATAATTGTCACACGAACACATACGTAAATGTTATTGTTTTATTAAAGTTTTATTTTACCGCTTAAAATGACGGCATGAGTATATTTTTGAAAAACAAATAAAAATAAAAATTATTCCATAAAGGGAAACTGGGCTCACACTCAAAATGGGCCGAATTAGCCCCGTGAAGCCAAAATCCTTCTCGTAGAAAACTCAGCTCAGTCCACGCTTTTGGGCTTTCCCTTTCTTCTACTCGTCCTCCCCACCGAAGCAGGGAGATGCGGAGGGCGTCGCCTTCGCCGCCGGCGGTCTTTGCCGCCGCGGTCGTGGTGTTTCTGCCTGCCCTATTCCCCGGGATGTTCTCCCCGCTTGGCCACGCCTTCCCTTCTCTCTTCTCGGTGAGCCCCCTTTCCCCTTCCCGCTGTTGCGTCATTCGATTTGAGCAGGCGTAGTGTCATATCGTCAGCTTGGTTAGTTGCTTCGTGCGGTTTCTCTTGCTAATTTGCGGTGCCTTAGTGAACCCTTGCCCTTTGTTCGTAGTGCGCAATTGCTGGATCATTTTAGGGGGATTGATGTGGTTGTACTTGTGGAGAAATGGCGTGGCAAAACTCACCAAAATTTTAGTTGTCTTTAATCGGTTACATGCCATTTCAGAGAAAGTGCAAAACTAAGACCTTCATGGAAATTAACTGAACTATAAAGTTACAGTGCTATCTAAAGAACTGATTCTTTTGAAGGATATACCATTCTGCTTGTATATGTCCTCAAGGATCTTTGTTTTCTTTTCGTGGTATACTGGATGAAGTGTGTACTGGAGTACTTGGTTTGATCACAAGTTGATACCATTGTGGGCACAATGTGTGAGCTCAACTTATGAGATTACAGTAGAAGTATGTTTCTGGTGAATTATTCTGTAAAATGTTATATATAATTTTGGAATTTTGCACGTGTCAATGTTTTGTTTCCGATATTTTGCCGGAGTGGAATGCCCCTAAGCTAGTGCATCCTTCTCTTTTAAATGAGGCTTTGCAATGGGCAATTGTGAGTACATCCTTGTCAGATGAAAACTACCATTGTTATGGTTGATTATATTTTAACATATGTTCTGTTGCAGACAGATGAACAAAAGAGAGAGCTATGGTCACCCTTGCCATATCAGGGGTGGAAACCATGCTTAAAGCCCTCAATTTCTCACGGTAATTTACTTCTATTCCATGATGATGAAACATAATTCCTCTTCCTGTTGAAGAAATTAGTTAATTGAGCACCCTTTATTTTAATGATAGCATTACCTCTGGAACCAAGTGGATACATCCAAGTATTTCTTGATGGTGGATTGAACCAGCAAAGAATGGGGGTATTCTCGTCTAATTACTGATAGTATGATTTTAGGACATGAGATAGCTTGCTTAATCCAGGCTTTAGATTAGCCAACTCTTTTTTTTTTTCCTATTCTGTAGATATGTGATGCCGTTGCAGTTGCAAAGATTCTTAATGCTACTCTTGTGGTCCCACATTTTGAAGTAAACCCTGTTTGGAAGGATTCAAGGTGCCTCTGGAGTTTGAAACTATATATTTCATGTTCTCCTGTTGAGCTGGAACTATTTTTATACTGGTACATTATTTTCTGCTGCAGCTCATTTGAAGAAATATTTGATGTGGACCACTTTATCAACTCCCTAAAAGATGAAGTTTCCATTATCAAAGCGCTTCCAAAAGAATTTTCTTGGAGCACAAGAGAGTACTATGGCACAGGCATCCGTGCTACAAGAATAAAAACTGCACCTCTTCACGCGTCAGCAAATTGGTATTTGGAGAGTGTCAGTCCTATCCTGCAAAGGTTAGTGAAAGATTGAATTTGCAATGTCTCAATTTGTTATGCATGTAGTTTTACTTTCTGAAGGCGCTTGTATCACAAGACATCTTTCTAGCCCTCTCTTTAATGATTGCCTTAGTTGAGATTTTGCACTGATTTTCATATTGATAGATACTTGACATATTGAATACAATTACTAAGAGAGTCGTCCATGTTTTGCCCAGGTGAGCTGCTACCGAGTTAGCTCTATTTCTATTAACATTATGTCTAACTATTGTTTGATTTTCTGAGTTGGTTACTCTATGAAGATAATTTTTCACCAGCAATCTTATCTACCTGCTGTGTCACTGCCAGCTATGGGATTGCTGCAATCGCTCCCTTTTCTCACCGCCTTGCATTTGATGATTTGCCTGCGGATCTTCAACGCTTGCGTTGTAAAGTTAATTTCCAAGCTCTGGTCTTTCGGCCTCACATTATCTCACTCAGGTAGACACTTGTGAAGCGCTTGAGGTCTCCAGTCCAGGGTCATTCCAGTAAATCCATCCATCAAGTTGTAGGAGACACAAATCAAGCTGAAAAATATGCAGTTTTGCATCTCCGTTTTGATAAGGTAGATGACAACTTCTGCAGTATTGGATGGTGCTTGTGTATCTTTGTGCTCTTAAAAGAATTTCTGTTCCAGAACATTGCAAACTTACCTATACTTTTCAGGATATGGCTGCACATTCTGCCTGTAACTTGGGAGGTGGCAGAGCTGAACAGCTAGCTCTTGCTAAGTACAGGCAAGTTATATGGCAAGGGAGGGTATTAAATTCACAGCTAACTGATGAGGAGCTTCGGAACACAGGACGCTGCCCATTGACCCCAGAAGAGATTGGGCTATTACTGGTAGCCCTTGGCTTTGACAGCAGAACTCGACTCTATCTTGCTTCTCACAAGGTTTGACTCTTCTGTGCACTTATTCTTGTAGGGGAAATCAGGAAGTTTTAACATCATAACGTGCCTCACATATTCAGGTATATGGTGGAGAAGCCAGGATCTCAAGCTTGCGCAAACTATTTCCATTGATGGAGGACAAGAGGAGCCTTGCATCTGAAGATGAACTTGCTAGTGTTGAAGGGAAGGCTTCTGTTCTAGCAGCTCTTGACTATTATATCAGCATGCACAGCGATATTTTCATCTCCGCATCTCCTGGAAATACGCACAATGCTTTGGTAAGTTCTCATGGCCTCCGTATTTGTTAGATTATTCCTTTAATGTGTAGTCTTCACTAGAACAATTTTTTCGTTTCAGTTGGCTCACCGAACCTATGAGAACTTGAAGACCATAAGGCCAAACATGGCATTGCTTGGCCGCATCTTTGTGAACAAGAGCATGGAGTGGCCAGAGTTTCAGCAGGTTGTACAGGCAGGACACAAAGGAAGATACGGGCAAATCCGGCTGAGAAAGGCAACGCAATCCATCTATACTTATCCTGCACCTGATTGTATGTGCCGAGGATAGACTGCTAGTTTCAAAGTTACAGACTCGGTTCTGCAGCAAATGAAGGTCGAGGATCGCCGTCTGATATGTTGCAGTGCGGTTAGTACATTCCAGCTGCCACTAGATACGGAAATTTGATTCCAAAAGTTTTGGGCCTGTTTGCTGCTGCTGTTTGCACAGTACTCTGTGAGAGACAGCCGCAGCCACACCTGCAGCAGCAGCCACAGAAATGAGCAGCACAGTACTCTGTGAGAGTCATTTAGCTCGTTCAATTGAATCTCAACATTAACGAATTGATCTGTAGCCTCAAGAAGCAAAAAGCAAATCCTTCTCTGGTTCTCTGTGAATTTTTTTGGACAGATTCTATGTACTGTCTGTTCATAATACAGTTGGGGGCAGATGTAGTTTATAGAAATTCGTGGTTGTGACGGGTCTTACGATATCACACCTGACATCAGCTTGTACGTCTATTTCACTGCATCATGTTTTCTTCAGTGCTGAACTATGTACTTGGTTCATGAGCGAAACTGACCCTGCTCGAGTTTTAAGACGGGCGAGCCGAGCCAAACTTTGTTTTAGCTCGTTAGCCTTAACGAATCAACGAGCCTTTTTTTTTTTCGAAAGCGTACATTGGCACGTGTTTTGTTAAGGAGTTTAACGAATCAAGCTCGAAGTGAGCCGAGCCTTAGCGGGTGAAGGTGGCTCATTAACAATGACAATTATTTGCTCTCTTCAAATAAGCTATCGGGATCCACTCCTTGTACTAGAATCATTATATTGCTATCTTGTTCATGATTGAGCCTTGTTCGACTGTTGTTGCAAGGGTTCGAGCAAGTATAATAAATAGCATGTAAGCTGGTTAAATGCTGAGGTGGCGGAAAGAAGGAATGAGAGAGGGGAGAAGTGGGCTATAAGCTTCGAACAACTCCAACAGTTTGGCTAAAATTACTAGCCAAATTTCATAGTTTAGTCATCTTGTAAAATAGAAAATTTCTCAAAAAAGAAGAGGTCTGCAACAGTTTTGCTATTTCTCATCTTCAGATAGCAAGCGCCCATGGTTGGCTTTATATGGCCACCTAAAATCAAGGGATAACCAAATTTCTATTTTACAAAACCAGATAGCATATCTGTTGGAGTCTATTTTTTTGCTATACAAATTCTAAAATAGCCTTCAAAACAAGAATAGCCGAGCTGTTGGAGTTGCTCTGATGTCGGTTTGGGCATAAGAACCAATAAACTCTGCGAGAGAGAAAAATGAGCCTTGTATTAACAGTGTAAGCTAACCACTATATGGGTGGACTGAGAGAAAGCTGCAAAGAACTTTACACTTAGCTAGCCGGCTGTATTATTAGTCTTGCTCTAATTTGATTTTTTTAGCCGAATTGATGACACGGACACAGCTAGCTTTGACCTTGTGTTCTTCAAAACTTAAACTTTATGTTTTTTTTGAAACATGATTTTTATAGAAATTGCAGAAGAGTTTCACTAAAAATCGGTTTATTTTAAAAAAAATTCAGAAAAAACCCTGTGTTCTTCAAACTTAAAAATGCAGGGAATTGTACAAGAGTTTCACAGAATTTGGTTTCTAAAAAAACGCAGAAAAAGAACCATATCTAAAGGGCCCTTGGTCGTTTATTTTCTCTTGCAGTTTTGATTCTGGCGTCCATCTCCCACATGGCTCCTCTGAACCGGTAGTTGTCGAACTCGTGAGCACAACGATCCGAGCTGAGCTGTAGTAGTTTTTGGACATTGCTTATCACCGAGCTCAGATATTTTTCTAATCATATATTAAAATAGAGAAGATATAAACATGACGACACGAATGCTATTTTTATCTCATATATAACAATAGAGAAGATAATAAATTCTTCAACGGGCTCAAATAAATGAGCGCGTAGGGCCCGTTCCAACTCGTGCACACTAGGCCCAGCCCATAAACTACAACATACTCGGCGCATCCCCGAAAACCCTAGGAAGTTCGGTGACAGCTATATATACGGCCGCCGGAGCGAGGCCCCAACAATCGCCGTCCCCGCCCACAGCAGCCGAGCCTATCTCCTTCGATTCGAAGCTCTCCTGTTTGCCTCGTTCGATCGATTCGGCCTGCGGGTAGCGGCTCCGTTCCGTGCTGTGCCGTGTTGCTTGAGCGTGTTCTTCCGATTTTTCTCCGGATCTTTGGTTATTGTTTTGATCGTTTTTCTTGGCGATTTGGATTGGGATTAGATGGGAGCAGGTGATGAGAACAAGACAGGGACATCAGAACCCTTTTCTGGGCGTGATAGACTAAGTCTTCAATGGGAATCTCTCTGATGCTTTTGGCTTCCCCAAAACCAAATCTCGTTTCTCTGTATTGCTTCCGAGATCTTGTTTCTTCTGGTAATTGGCTGCTGATGATGCATAACAAATGCACGTGTTATCGGATTGTTCCATGACGATCTACAAATTGTCACTACCACTGAGGCAGACTTTTAGATCTGCAATCTGTTTTCTTTTGAATTTGATTAATTTGTTTGTTTTTTCTCTTTCTGGTTCTGTTTTCCGTTGGTCTGATAAGTTATCTCGAGCACATTGCCTATGATGGTGTTAAATATACTTTGTAGCGTTTTCGCTGTGAAATAAACTTAAATCTGAGGCATTTGCAGTTCAATAATCGTTGTTGCATCATATCAGTTCAATAATCTCGACGATCCTTCCTTCGTGTCATGCCCTCATCGTCTACTACGTTTTCTTGAAATAAGACTGTCTACTACCAAATAGCTCAAAACCTGCAGAATATGAATTGGAAACGAAATGGGATTGCCTGTAGTATGTAATATCTGATACGAAAGGAAATTAATCATATCTGATACAAAAGGAAATTGTGGTGGAAAGTTTCATGCTCGGATCATGTAAACTAGATTCTGTCAAATAGTAAGAAAAATATTTGAATTACCAAGGTTGTTTGTTTCCCTTCTAAACTCTTACATGGGATGTTCAGACACAGGAGTAATAAATATAGACTAATAAATATGTAGATTAAAACTAATTTACGAGATATTTTTTAATCTGAATTAGTTCATAATTTTACAACGTTCTGCTACAGCAATGATGGGTTAATTAGGTAATTGGGTTTAATAAATTTGTCTGGCAGATTATCGACGATTTCTATAATTTATTCTATTATTACTGTCTGAGTGACAACAGATACGATATGATACCTGTAAATTTTAGCCCTGGTACAAGCACGCCGTAATTTTAGCTTTTTGAGACCTGCTGTTGCTGGATGGACTGATTGCTTCAGGTAGATTCCAAACTATCCTGACCCTTAAGGCCATTGTTTGAAGGTTTCGAATCATGTGAATAACCAGTAATTTCCTGGCCATTGCCTAATGATTCGAATCATGTGGATAACCTGTAATTTAGGATTATGGCCGGTTTCAAATCATGTGGACAATCAGTAATTTCCCGAAATTCAAATTCAGGGTTATGGCCGTGTTCGTTACAGCTGGCTGCAAATTGTGTTCGATGAAGCCTGCTGCTGATATGAATAATATTTTTCAACTTTTTTTTATCTCACATGAACATCGTAAACTTCAAAAACTTTTTATGAAAATCATAAAACAACCAGACCTATAAATGGCCAATTTTCTTGATTTAGCTAGTCAAGTGTGTATTTTTATTTTTTTAGCAAAAAAAATGCGCAAGAATTTTTTTGAACATGCATTAATCTATATCTATACAACTAAAAAACGTCAAATGCAATTGTCGAACAAAATAGAACCATACTCCTTTGACAAAACTTTCTCTCACGATATCCTCCGTGCGCAATTTTTATATGAAAGGCCTTTTTTTTATTTCTCTATTCCACTCCATTTAAATCTAAGAAAGAACCCAATTCAATGAGATTTCACTAGTATATAAAAAGAGAAATAGATACAAACACAAGGTCTCATTCCTTGTTATAGAATTTTTGTTTCAAAGCAAAGAAATATTATATATATTCAGCAAATGAAATAGAGTCGGTGAATGAAGCGAATTCATTAATAACTCAATTTATAGATAAAAATGAAAAAAAGAAATCATTGCCTTCTTTCTTTTATCTTTGTATATTTATCGTACTTTTGCCCTGGGACTCTTTTAACAAATGCCTGGAATTTGGAACTTTAGATTAAGAATTGGTGGAATACCAGTGAATCCTTTGACAAAACTCTTTCTCTCTCGTTCTCCTCCTTGCGCAATCTCCTTTGGTCCTTTGATAACACTCTTTCTCTCCCTATCTCCTCCCCGCGCAATCTCCTTCAGTCCTCATCTCCTCCCTTGTCCTGCACGCTTAATTGGGGGACAGAGATTAAGTAACTGAGAGTAACTTAGCTGAGTCACAGCATAACTCGTCGTCCAACTAAATCCAAATGGTAATCCTAGCGCCCGGACGTCCGGTGCGCGAAACGCGTCCGGACGCCGCGCCCTTCCCAAACCCACCCACCCCCAGCGGGGATAGAACGAAACACCGCTCCCTTTCCAAACCCGCCCGCCCCCCGCGGGAATAGAACGGAACACCGCTCCCTTCACAAACCCACCCGCCTCGCCGCGAGAATAGAACGGAACCCGTCCGCCCCCTGCGTCACCCTGTTCCCCCACCGCATTCCCTGTCCCAAGAGCACGAAAACACTTCAAGTGCAACATCACAAACATATGAAAAAACTATATTGTAACATCGGAATATGAATACTGGAACATCGCAAAGATATGTAGTGCAACATCAAAAATTATGTGCTGCAACATCGCAAAAACATGTACTACATCGAAAAAACATGTAATGCAACATCGGAAAATATGTACTGCAATATAAAAAATTATGTGCTGCAACATCGAAAAATATGTACTGCAACATCGCAAAATCAACCATGAAATATGGAAAATGGGCCATTCGAAAAACATCTGTTGCAACAACAACAAAAAATCCCATTGCAACATTCAAAAATCATATGTTGCAACATAAAAAAAACCATTGCACCACGGAGAAAACAGCAAAGGGTGTACGAACAACAAGGAGATGGGTTCGAGGTGCAGGCTGTTCTAGCCTTGGGCCATCACCTCTGGGCTCGCCGGAGGGAGGAGGGAAGGACCCCAGAGCTCGCCGGAACCCTAGCCACTGCCGCGTCCCTCAGATCCAGGGGAGGAGGAGGTGGTGGAGGACTAGGGGTCAGATCTAGAGGAGGAGCAAGAGAGAGAAGGACTGACCTATCTCGTCGGAGCCGCCATTGTCGTCCTCGTCTCCGGTGAGGGGCACGTGAGCTGGGTCGCTGGTGAGCGTGGGGTCGCATGGAATTCGCGAAGGGGGGAGGGATGGAGGGAGCACGGGCGGGCGGCGGCGAGCTTGCGCCTGGGCGCGGGAGCCGGTGTAGGGATGAGGGAGCGAGCGGCAGAGTAGGGATGAGGATGAGAGAGAGCGTTGCGGGAGCAGATGAGGGCGGTCAAGTCGTTCCGTGTGCGACGTGTCCGTCCGGACGGAACGAACGCCCGCTCTTTATCACTATCCAAATCCAAAGACTCATTACACTTGCAATAGCGAGGCTCATTATACTTGCAACTAAACTAGCCGGAGCGAAATTGCCATGCCAGACGCACACCGCTTGGTGCCCTTGTAGGCCTCGAGCGTCGCCGTGCCCTATGGGCCTCTTAGTGCCGCGTCCTGTGGTGTTTGGTCGTGCCGGCGTGGGAGAGGAAGCCCCCCCTGTCCCAGTCAACCACAAAATAAAATAAAGTCGTACATAGGAATGCTTCCAAATATGAGATTTAGTGAACAAAAATGGTTAATTTCCTCGATTTCATGATAGGACTCAACACTTGATGGCAATAAAAAAGAAAATTTTGGAGTTACAAGCCATGCGTTGCATGGGGTCACCAATTTTTATGTACGTATAAAGCGACGCACGTGGCTTGCAGATTCGATGAACATATTAAGAAAACTACAAATATAATTACATAGAAAATATAAAGCCTATTTCATATTCTTTGTCACGTGTGTCGCATGAGATCTAGTTTATAGAAAATATAAAGCCTGTTTTACTTTTCTAATACTTGTGTGATTTATTATTAAGCATTTTACAATTTTAAGTTGATTTGATCATTTTTCAAAAATATTAAAAAGCTAGTAAACAATTTTGTATTGGAAACCCCAAACTATTTTCAAATCCATTCAGACCTTTTCTTTTTCTCCTTTTCTCCTTCGTATGGCCTTGATCATGGGTGTCATCGCGATGGCCTTTTCTGGACATCTTCGTTCGAGTTCCATGGCGAGAACCAAGCCAACTCTAAGTTCTGGCGCGTCGGTAATAACAGCAGCCAAGGCTAAGACGAAGCAGAAGTAGCATGGTTGAAAAGGTCCTAATATGACTAGAGCGGGTGAATAGTCTATTTAAAAACTCTACAAAGCACTAGGGCAATTGATTAGTACAAGAAATGGCTTAATGTAATTTTGCTCTAGCTCTATAAGGTTTGCAAGCCACCTATCCCAACAATTCTAGTTGCTATGATCACTAGACACAAAACAAGCTAGGTCACTACTCACTAAGCTAGTGTGCTTTCAAAGACTAACTAAAGAGCCACACTAACCAAACTAATAAGCTCTCAAAGACTGCCTACACTAAAGAGATTGACAACTAGTTTGCAAGGAATGTAAAGTAGTGAGTAAGGTGATTATAGTGTCGTGTCGA